GCCCGCGTCCCCTCTGCCACCCGCGGCTTCTGCAGGACGGGCCGAGGTGCACACTGCCCTCCAATCCCACAAGCAGGCCCGCCAGCAAAACCGCACAGATACTCGGGTGACATAAAGGGACCTGGAGGAAACTTCAGTTGGACTCCAATGAGGAGATGGTGGGAAGTGGGGAAGAGTCTGCGGAGAAAGGAAGCGGGATGCGGGGGGCAGTGTTTAACCGGGGAAAGTCGGTCTCTGACTTGGTTCTGTCTGCTTCGGGGAGTGGGGAAGTCTCCTCACGGCCCGGTCCTTTGTGACTGAGGATTGTCTCATGCAGTGATGGTTAGATTTATCCAGTCAGTTTCCTGCTTATTTTAACAAATGGGAGCTGAGGAGACCTCCCCTTAACATTGAACCTGGTGATTATCAAAGGACCGGGGAGAAGAAGCCAGTGCCTGCCCCTCACTCACTGGCCCAGAATCCTCACCCTGGAGTCTCAGGGGCCCCTCTGAGCTCCCTTATCCCGCGCGCTGGGTCTCTGTCCCCCTTGCCCTGGAAGGCCTTGGGACAGTTTGCTCCCTACTCCAATCATCCATGCTGTTTCCCAGGGCAGCCCTGCTGGCCCCACCTCCTGTGTGACTGCTCCCCAAGCTTCCCCCACCAGACCTCAAGGAGGCTCCCTGGGAAATCCAACCTCTAGATTCCTGTTATGAAAATAAGCAGTCCTGCCCTGCTTCCAGTCCTCGGAGCCCCCGCCTCCTCCAGTCACCTTCTGTTACCCTGAACCCAGCCCACAGGCGGTAAGTACAGTAGGTAGTGCCCTTGGCCCGGAGCACTTGAGTTCATTTCTTGCTAACCTGCAAGAGCCGTTTCACCTCCGTTTCTTCCTCTAAAAGAAGTTATTCCTAAATAGTTTCCCCTCTTCACTGACTCACCAGGCTGAGCACCTTCTAGTTTCTCAAGGGCACCCAGCTCTTTCCTGCCTCACCTGCCAGGGACACCCTTTCCTGGTTTTCTGGAGTCTGGCTCACTCACTCTTTGGGACTTAGTCAAACAGCCCCTCCCCAAAGAGATCCTTCCTGATCTTCTTAGCAGCCCCCTTCCCGTCTTGTATTCTTTCTCAATGAACTGTGCCAATTTCCTTCATAGCATTTTCACAGTTTATAAATGTAACTACATAATTTGTGTGTCCTTCCTACGGCACTGCAGGGACCATGTGTGTGTTATTCAACAGTTTATCCCTAGTGCATTCACAGTATCCATGCATCATTCATTCATTTAACAATGTTCACTGAGTGCCTGTTACACGTCAGGCACTGTCTTAAATGCTTGGGATACATCTGTGAACAGACAGTGACTCCTTGTGGAATGAATGAATGAATGCAAGATTGTAATGAGCCTCAAACGGAATTACAGCTGTGAAAGTGATGAACAAGATAATGTATTCACCTTATACTTGTATAGCCCTTTACAGTGCACAAAGTGAATTTACACACATCTTTACTTATTCTTTCATTCATGCAATAAACATGTATTGGACACCTACTGTATGCCAGGCACAGTGCATATGGCTTCTGCCTCTGAATGCTTCAAGCGCTTGTGAGGGGACACAGGTCACCCAGCAATTGGAAATGCCTGTAGGACTCCCAGATGGGGAAGTAGAGATTGGGAGCCATTCCAGGTCCCCTGCTTAGTGCAGGACAGTCTGTCCACTGCACAACCAAGACAGGGGGTAGCTATTATATTCCCAGTCAGCAGTTGAAGAAATTGAGGCTTGGAAGGCTAAATATTTGCTCATGCAGGTGTGCAGGGATGGAGGCAGGGCTGTGTCCAGCCTGTGGATGTGAGAGCCCACAGCTCACAGCCGCCTCCTCTGTCTTCCCAAACACTGCTGTGGTCAGGCAGGGCCAACAAACATGTGTCCCCTGGATCTGGATGGAAGCAAGTCATGGTGACTTTAACAGAGCAACTGCAAGGGGATAGAATTTCAGTGGGGTGGAAGCCAGACCCCAAAGTAAGGAACCGGAAATGAAGAGCGTGCTCACCTCATGTGGCAGGGGCGCCTGTGAGAGGAGAGGAGGAGGAGTGGCAGGGAGGGTGGGACCTGGGGTTTGAGGGGCTGTTGTATCAGATGGGAGCATCTGGAATGTGTTCTGCGTCACCAAGAGGAAGGGACTGAAGATAAAAGCAGGGAGGAGACGGTGAAACAGGATGGGACATTAGGGCGGGCAGGAACAGGCTGAGGGACTGCTCCTTCTCTGCGAGGATGTCCCACACTGGCTGCAGAGGACTCCAGGCTCAGGCAGGGGGCTGAGGAGGGCATGGCTGAAGTCACAGTGGATGGGCCTTCACACTGGCCATCCAAGGATGGCACCAGTCCCTTGGGAGCCAGGGCAGGTGTGTCAGTCCCCATTTTACCCTGAGACATCTAAGACCTGAGTGTTTACACTCAGCTGGCTGAACTCAGCCTCAAATCTGCATCTCCTGCATCCAAGTTCAGAGATTATAATCATCAACTTATTTGGTAATAACAATAGTAGGTAATAGCGTGCTTGCCGAGGCACTCTTACATAGTTATCTCATCCAACCCCCAAAACAACCTTGTGTGGTGGGTGCACATGTCATCACCATCCCCATTATAGAGATGAGGAAACTGAGGCTTAAAGAGGGAAGTAACTTGTCAGGGTCATAGAACCCATATAAGAAGTGGCAGGGCCAGGATTCAAGCCCAGGTTGTCTGACTCCAAAGCCCCAGCCCTCGCCCGCGTCCTCGGACTCTGACATTCTGTATTTAATTCAGTGTTCTTCATGTTGTAACAAGTTTCCATTTCCTGAAGCATCTCTGAGGGCCACTCTAAACTTTGCCTTCTTTGGAGAGGCTGCCAAAAGAGTGAGAAAGTTTCTCAAACATAATGGAAAAATCCTCCTGGGGTAAGTGCCTGGTGCACTGAGGATTATCAGCATGGTTCTTGGGCTCCCAGCACCAGGCCCAGTCTATTCCGTCAGCTGGATAAGTGATTGCCTGGCAGGCCTTGGGCAGAGCTAGCTTCGTTTGGCTCAGCAGAAAAATATTCTCATTGGTTCTGTCATCCCCCAAACAGGCCAGCCTAAGCAGGGAAGGGACTGTGCAGAGCAGGAAAGGAGGGTGTCGTGCTGCAGATTCTGGAAGAGCCTCCACCGTCTAAGGCAGGATGGACAGGGGCCCGCCAGGGGCTGTCGGGTGGAGCTCCTGCAAACCAGGGGCCCCGGCGGAGGGAAGCCCAGATTCATGCCTGACTTCCTCTGTGGCTGTCGGGTGGGGCTCTTCAGAATCAGGAAACTTACACAGATAGAGCTGCCTCCGAGCTAGCACTGTTCAGCCAGGCGACGTGGACAGCCCTTCGAGGCCTGGTCTGATCAGTCAGAGGGAGCGCAGCAGGGGAAAGAGTATGTGGTTTAACACCAGCAAGTTCAGATCGCCGTGCTGTCTACAGCTTATGAGTGATGTAACTTGAGTCACGTTGCTTTATCTCTGAGCCTGTTTCCTCACCTGTAAAACGGGGTCGGTGCACATCTGTGTTCCTGAAGGGGTGCCTGAGATGAAACACCATGCACGGTTTTGACAGCAGGCTCACAGTCTGTGGCTGCCCCAAGTACCACGGTCAGTGGGCCGGTTCAGAATGCTGGATACATGGCCCTGCCCTCAAGAAGAGTGTGAGTGTTAGGAAGACAGTGACCCCTGTCAGCACCGCGGCAGAGCACACAACCAGATACTAAATTACAGAGTACAGATGCGCTGGGACTCAGAATCAAAGGGAGGGGTGAGGGCTGGATGGGGAAGGAGGCCTTCTTGGAGTTGGTGACAATGAGTCTTGAGATATGGTAACATGTGGAAAAGGAGAGAACAGGGTGGGAGAGGGAAGTATTCCATGCAGGCAGAACAGCTTACACGCAGGAAGAGAGGAGAGGGGCTGGCGTGGTGGGTAGGGCAGTTCCACAGAGTAGACAGTTTCAAGTCCCCCAGAGGAGGCTGGACTTGGTGCTGCCCCGGCCCCAGGAAGTAGCATGATGAAGTGGACTCTGGGCAGTTTGGGTGATGAGCGCCAGTGGAGCAGTGGTGTCCCCACCACCCGTCAGGACCCCCAGAGCAGAGGTCAGAGAAGGACCCCATGGCAGTCTAACTGTAACTGCAGAACTTTCCCTAGAGGGGTGGGGAACAGGGAAAGGGGGTCCGATGTACCATTTGGGAGCCAAGATGGGTGTAAAAATTCAGGCCTGGTGGGTTGACAGCACTTTGTGGGTCTTATTTCCAGGAGATCTGCAGTGATCCCCAATTTATTACTGAAGGAGCCACCCGCACAGACATCTGCCAAGGAGCCCTGGGTAAGTGACGGACTCTGAAGCAGGCTGCGGCGGGGGGGGGGGAGCTCTGCAAGGCTGTGGGTGGAAGGGGTGAGGGATGTTCTGTGGCTTCTCTCCCTTGCCAGACAGCTTGGCAATTTCCATTTCCAGAAGCTTCCTGGAATTTCTTGCCCCCTGAGGGCCCTGTGCAGCAGTACACAAATGCACAGATGTGCAGCGAGGCCTCCTGTGCCCCCTGCACTGGGCGAGTTGTTGAAGTTACAAAGACGCTGCCACTGGAGGACAGAGGCGCTTCTGGACCTTGGTCCCTGTACCTCCTGGGGCCAGTGTTACTAGTGCCCCATGAATAGTCTGGCTCTGGGCTGAGGGCCGGGTGGGAGGACTCCCCCAGGCCAGCTGCAGCACTGAGACATCAGTTCTCTGGGGTTTGCGGATGGGATGGTGACTCAGTGTGAAAGAAGAGGAAATCCTCATAGTTGCTGCTGGGAGGAAGTTAACATACTGGGGCGTCCTCAGTGTTTGCCAGACGAGCTCACCATGGTATCACAACAGTGGGCTCGGTGCTCGTTGTCACAGGCAATTGTAATGTTTGTTTCAGTAAGATTACCTGGAGTGGCTGAATTGGGAGGGTCTGAAGCTGTGCTCTCTAAAGCCAAGCTTTGCTTCTCTGGGTACAGTGCCTGCTGAGATTGGAACCTGCAGGGTCTCCGGCTTTGGCATGAAAGCCCCCAAGGCTCCTATGAAGAGGTCTCAACAGTGGGGCCTGAGACCATTATTTAAGATTCTCATAGAATCCATGCTCATTTTTTTTTACTCATAATAAATACGGGCCTATGATCACTGGAGCAGATTATTTGCTGCAATAAACCAAAAACTTGTTTCCTGCCATCACTTTCAACTTGCTCTCCAGATGAGTCCATTGGCAACAAGACTGATCAAATTGAATTGTACCTCCTTTCTTGGCCCACCTAGCAGAGTTTCCATCCTGGGAGTAACTTGTTTCAGATCATCCCACAGCTGAAGTGAAGGTCTGGGATGCAAATGACTCCAAGGCCTGTGTGTTTAACCCTTGAGCTAGACTCCCTAGAAGGGACATGGAAAAATTTCAACCTCTGAGGGATGTCAGGGCCACTGTGTGAATCACTGGGAGGGCACACTGGGAGCCCCTTGGGAAATGCCTCCCCGAGAGAATGTGACCCAGGGCTGGGCATGCACACCCCGCTGTCTGACCTCAGCCTCTGTGCTCAAATTCCTGAGATGCCAGAGCACATTCATACCTGTAGAAAACTCATTTCCCACCTTCTCTCCCCCACAAAGATAGAAGTCCAGGGGCCCTTGGGCATTTAAGGTGGGTGCTCCAGGGAAATCCACTGGTTAGAGAACATGTTTGTTAACAGGGATAGAAGTTGATGGAGCAACTTCGACCAGCTGTAGGGGCTTTAGAAAATCTGGAAACAAACACAGCAACTGTCACACCTGGGCTAAATTCCACACCTGGACTAAACATCTACTTCAAAGTTTAATGACATCTTAAGGGCCAAGTTGCAGGATTTAAGTCCTGTTTAAGTACTACCAGACCATTTGGAGAGGAGACAGGCAAAGCATAAATTCCCCATGATATGCACCAAATCAAATAGAAACAAGATTAAGGGTAAGTCCTTTAAAATTTTCTCAAAAAACTGGTCTATAATTTCTAAGGCTTTTTTTTTTTTACATCATGTTAGTCATTTTGTTCTCTTGGCCTTTTATTTTGGGTGATCCTGGTTCGATTACGATCAGTGAAATGTGGTGGACTGAACTCTCACCCTGATTCTGGCATCCGGTACAGGGTGGTGATGGAGTGGTCACCGTCACCAGGTCCCAGCAGGTTCAGAGGCATCAGGAACGGGGGCTGTGGCAGCAACCCCTGGCCACATGAACAGAGATACGAGTTGAGGCTCAGCTCTTAGGTGGCAGACTGTTGACAAGTCATCACTGAGAACCTCAGTTTCTTCTTAAAATGGGAGGGAGGGGGAGGGTGAATGAGATGACCTCAGAGATCCCCTCAGATGGGGCATTCAGCTGTTCTAAAGTCATTCCTCATGCCTGATGCTGAGTGTAGACCTGTGCGAGGGTTAAAGCACCGCCCAACAGACCTCTTATCTCAGGTAAGGAGTGATGGCAGCGCCTGCCACCTGTTGAACAGTGTGCACTTCCTGGAGCGGTTTTCATTGTGTTATCTCATGTAATCATCCCAACTCTGAAGTAACCATTTTCACCCCCATGATGCAGATAAGAAAACTGAGGCAGGGGTGGGGGTACATGTAAGGCCACACAGCTAAAAGTTGCCAAAGGAAAGAACCCTGATCTGATTTAGACTTTTTCCAGACTCTTTTCACTCCCATCATGAGTTGCCATGATGCTGTGTTGAGGGACTACAGGGGTAAAATTCTCAAAGCAAAAGTAACTTTCTTATCTGACTTTCTACCCTGAGACTCAGTTCACCAGTGAACCTGGATGGGGGCCACCCTTGGGCTGGAACCTTTTCCAAGGCCCGGCCTCCTTTCACAGGGCTGCCAGGCAGTGGTTAATCCTCAGACTCCCACCCTCTTTTCCAGAAGGGTCAGCTCGAAGCCTCACCAGAGTAACTCCCACCATGTTCGCAGAACTGCTCTGACATGAGCCACCTGCACTGCAGACCATGGGTGTGCTAAGCATTGAGTCAGTGAAGAAAAATCTGCCCATCTGGAGGAAGGGCAGGAGACCTAGCTGAGCTTCGGCCAGGCTGGTCCTGCAGCTAAATGTGGCCCTAGGGTTGCTGTTAGCAGACTCTGCTACAAGTGGTTGCCACTTGGAGTGGCCCTCGGGGCCCCGGAATCCCAGAGCTGAGCCCCTCCTGCCTTTGGTTTTCACGGGCTGCTGCTGAGCTTGCACCACTAACCCCCTGCACGGCCCCTCACAGCCCCAGGGCCCCCACAGTGCCCACGGCTCTCAGGGGAAGGCAGCCATTCCTGGCCCGGTGCCCCCGTGGGCCCTCGGCTTCCTGGGGGAGGGCCGGAGGCTACCTGCACAGTCAGAGCTGTTGAAACTGCACAGCCCCGCTTCTTTGTAACCTGACACATGTTCTCCAGGCCCCTCAGAGGTAGATCACTTTGCCTCTACCCCCAAGAGTAACACGGGCCCCCAGAGACCTGCTGGGGGTGTCTGTCTATAGGGTGCCCCTCCCCAGGGCTCAGCTCAGCAGAGAGTGGGGAGGGGCAGAGCCAGTGGGAAAAGCACACGGAAAGGAGGTTTCCAGTTCCTGTTGTCTTGCCTGGGTGACTTCAGGCAGGTTACCCAAGCTCTCTGGGCCTCAGTTTCCTCTTCTGTAAAATGGGAATAATGGTAATACTCCCTTCCCAGGGCTGTGGTGCAAAATGCACTTAATATAGGCAAACACAAATCATGAATAAATTCAACATCTTCCTTTTTCCCCATTTTTAAATGTTGTAAGTAATTTTTAAATGATTCTTAAATTGTAATTTTTAAAAGCCATTTTAATAAATACCTTTAAAAATTTTTAATAGAGTTTGTTAGAACAGTTTTAGTTTTACAGAACAGTTGAGATGATAGCACAGAGAATTCCCTGCACTCCACTCCCAGTTTCCCCTATTACGAACATCTCACATTAGTGTGGGATGTTTGCTACAATTAATGAGCCAATGCTGGTTCATTATCATTAACTAAAACCCATACGTTATTTAGCGTTCCTTAGTTTTTACCTGGTGTCCTCTTTCTGTTCAGGAACCCCACCCAGGGCAGCACATTACACGTAGTTGTCGGGTCTCTTTAGGTGCCTCTTGGCTATGACACTTCCTCAGACTCCACTTGTTTTTGATGACCTTGCTACTTTTCAGGAGTGCTGGTTGGGGATTTTGTAGGATGCCTGCTATTGGCATTTGAAGGTACCTTTTTAAAAAACAGTGCATGTAGTTTTAAAAATAAAAGGACTAGGAAAAAAAGTGTTGGCTGGTTTGATGGAGAAAGTAAATACTTTTTTCTTTCTGAAAACAATCACTTCAGCCCGGCGGCCCCTCCCAGCCTCCGGGAGCAGACATGCGCTGTCCCTGAGTCATCCTTTCCTCTCCGATCTCTCTGGGTTATAAATGCTCTTTCAGAGCCTTTCTCCTCTATGACCACTGCGGTGCTCCTGACTCCCTTTCCTGCTGCATCTAAAACAGTCCCACAAACAAGGCAGGGATGATTCCCCCAGAGGCCCCCGTCCTTCCCTGGCTGCCCCAGCTGTGGCAGTCACACAGCGGGTTCCAGCCTCATCCAGGGCCAGAAGGGCAAATCCCTCCTTGGCTGTCCCTGACCTCTTCTCCCCAGGGAGGAGAGGCAGTGGAAATCCTTCCATTGTCACATACACTGTGCTCTGAAGCCAGAGGAAACTGCTAGAAGGAGTTTACATGGTTCCTTTGCTCCTGTGGCCCATGGATCAGAGTGTGACTTTTCACTTGGGCAGGTCCCCCCGAGCCAGGAGCCAGGCCACATCCCTGTGTGGCCTCAGTGGTCTGTTTCTAAGATGAGGGGATGGGATTCCAGGTTCCTAAGGTCCCACCACTCCTGATGGGCTGTGACTTCCACCGGCAGCCTCTGCTCCCCTGCCACATCCCCCCTCACTGGGCTTCAGCTCGCGTTTGCTGAGCAGTAACGTCTCTGCTTCAAGGTCTGAGACCCTTGCTCCGATCATCTCTGGCAGGATCAACCACAGAGAAGCCCCCACCCAGGCGATTTCAGAAACGAAGGCTGAGCATTCTGTGAGGTCGGTGGGGTTCTGGGCCACAGCGGTGCGAGTGAAGGAGCCCCAGGAGGAGGGTGGTCCTCTCTGGCTGGCCCAGCATCGGGGGGCCTGGCCCGGGGGCAGACTCTAGACCAGCCCTGCCAGCAGACCTTTTTGCAGTGATGGGAGCATTCTGTACCGTCAGTATGATAGCCACAAGCCGCAGGGGGAACACTTGAACTGTCCTAATGCAGTCAAGGAACTGAGTTTTTCATTTAAT